ACCCAGAAACTCCCTGCGCTTTTTTGGTCACAGCTGGAAGCCCTAGGGCTAATCACTGCTCTGGTCCTCACTGAGCAAGATAAGACTATCAAAGACACTGAGGCAACTGGGGAAACTAGTTTTCTTATCGCCTCCTTGTCTTGTCCTTGTCCTTGCAAGAGTGCTTTGCTCTCTTACTAGTCCACTGTAATTGCGATCATTGTGCCCAGAAAGACCCACTGCCCTTCACTCATCATCCTTGACCCAGAAGTAATCAATAAATACTAATGTTCTGGGTGTCTCAGACCTTTTGTTCCCCATGAACATCTAGTCATCCCAGATCCCTGCTGCACGGCTATTTTGTTATTTGCTCCTTCTTCCCGCAGAGCTCTGTAACTCTGAGCAGGAGACTGGGGACTCACTGCAGGGCTCCTGATAACTGGCTTTGTGGAAAGGGTCTCCTATAGTCTTTAAATTTACATTTGACTTAAGTATGTATGATGATTGCAACACAAGGCAAACATGTGTTTTTATAGTCAATAGCCTTAAAGCTTATGGAGGAGACTGCTTGGTCAGCAGTCTTTAATAATTATTATAATAGACTTGTTTCCAAAGCTTTAGCAGCACTACCAGTTTTCTCACAGCTTCCACTGAAGCTGTTCTGTGGTTAGTCCATCGAACTCGCCAACATGAGTCCATTTGAAGCAGGAAGTTATCTGAACCAACCTGCACCAATCATGTGTCTTCTTCAGCAAACAGAATTGTCCTCCAGTGTAATGTAAACCTTTATTGGGCAAGTGAACTAAGAAATGATATAAAGGAAGGACTGAATAAAAGGAGAAACATAGACTATTTGGGAAGGAGGAATTAGGAATAAGAGTGACAGAGAAGAGAAAGAGAGGAAGAGATGAGAGAATCCTGGTTGGAGCACCTGGGTGGAAGGTTTCAGTGCCGGATGCCTGTCTTAGTGTTGGGATCAGTTCCCTGCAATGCCCGATTCTGCTACTGATCATTAGTTACTATAAGATATTCCTGGGCCCAGATACAAAGGGTTTTATTGTTTGTTTTGTTTTGTTTTCTGCTTAGGTGATCATAATCAACAATTGCAATTCAATGAGAACTGCCTGAGCAAAGTGAAAGGAACAGATGTGTAGAAAGGCAAAGATCAAAGCACATAAGGCCCAGATAGAGGAAAAATAGCAAAGACGGTCTGGTCCCCGTGGTCTGAATCCTGTTCATCATTCCGGTGAGACTCCCATCTCGCCTTCGCTTGTGTGAGTGGCCTTCTTGTCCTAACAACTAGGTGGATACTTCTGAACACTGATATAATTCTCCTTTGTTTATATACTTCATATGTGTGTGTGTGAAAACTTTTATATAGGGAAATCCTTAATACTTTGAATTCTTAAGTCAGCATTTTCACATCGTATTAGGCATTCAGTGGTCCTCCAATGCGCATGTTAAAGTTGTTTCAATTCTAAAGCAAAAATTGAATTAGATAAGATGTTTGAATCAAATATTACACATAAATAATGACACTATTGTTTTAGTAGTAAAAGGACTAGAAACAACATGTGTATATGCAGATTGTTAAATCTTGTTTTAAAATAGATCATGCATATCTAGTTTTTATTTCTAAAAGTAATGTTGTAAAAGTTACCATATGTATTTGTTGTTCTTTTTCCTCATTAGTTGGATTTTGGCAGAATTCATTATTAATGTCATAATAAGGGAGAATTAGAATATGGATATGTTGATGTACATGTATGTGTGTTTACATGAATACGCACACAGATATTCATATTCATTCACAGTACACCCACATACACGAATGTTTAAAGTATCGATATCAGACTTTTTGATAAGCAAATGTCAACACAAAGTTGGCAAAGAGGCTAAATGACTTCCTCTTGGTGTTTATTTCCTGTATTGCCCATGAGGAAGTCTAAAAAGAACATTTTCTATCCAACAGCTCTCAAAGTTTCAATAGGATTCTCAAAGATCCCTCCCCAGCCGGTGCCCCAAGCAAAGGATTCTTGCTGTGCGGTTTCTAAAGATTTCACTTACGACCCGCTGAATACCCAGCCTGAATGGACAGTAAAACCCACACCAAACCTCTCTTTGCACCCTGTGTGGGACAAGTGGTTACTTTGTTCATTTACAAAGGCCTGAGAGAAAGACACAAACTGCCCTATGGTAGAAGAAGTTTCTTTCATATAAATCCTTTTAAAGGGATCTAAATCATGACACTCAAAAGGAAGGAGACCACACAAGGAAATGGGTAGAAACTTTTAAAATCAGCTGCAGAGAAACGGAACAACATGTTTTCTCTATTTTGACATATTATCTTTTTTTTTTTTTTTTTTTTTTTTTTTTTTTTTTTGGTAACTATCCTCAAAGGTGCGTCCTGGCTTGGTCCCTGCAGATTTCCTTCTCTGGGGACAATAAGGCTTTTTCTCATTGTTACTGTTGTCCCGATGTCAGGTGGATTGTCTGCTTCTCCAATATCATTTATTTTCTGACATTTGAGCATGAAGTATCTGAGTCAGCTTTGCTTATCAGACGTTCTTCTTATAAAATAACCATAAAACATGGTGCTTTCTGTCTTTTAAATTTATTGTTACTGTTGAACTTCAACACTTCAAGGAGTGGAATGTGATAGAACCTTCTCCGTACTCCAGCAGACACAATTGGTGCTACTGCCAGCCATACCGGCCTCTTCAGCTCCCACTGGACTTGCACTGGACTCCCCAGGCTGTCCCAGGCAAGGCCACTACTGCCTCTGGTCGGAACAGGTATGGTCATTGCCCACTCAACCTGATCACCTCCAGTCTGTGATGCTGACCCTGCTTGAGGACAGGGTAAGAAGTGGCTGCTATTTAGTACACATTGTTACAGTCACAGTGCTCTGAGGACTGGGAAAAGGGTTCTGGACAGAATGAAACAGAGAATCAATTCCAAATATTTCATCTCTGAAACAGGTAAGTATGATGGCAATGCAAATAACACTGCAAATAACTGCTGTCAAAAGTCTAGGCATGAGTTTTGGCCCTGGCCCATTTCTACTTCCATGTTCTTGGCAAATCATTGCATAACTCTACAATTGCCCTTTATCAAAAATCTCTGGCTCCCGGGGGAATGGAAAGGTTCAAGTGAAAGGAGCTATATGGAAGTTTCTGGAAGACAGATGATATTCTCTGCATACCTACCGAGAAAAGAGGCCAGAGGCATGGCACAGAACACAAGCCCTGAGGACCGGTACATCAAAGCACTTTCTGTTTATCTCCCCCAATGCCCAGTCTTATAACTTTGGAAAAGTTTTTTCACTTGTCTGTGCCTCAGTTTCTTTAGCTGTACAGTTGATATAATAATAGCAACCTACTTTATAAAAGTCCTTATGAAATTAAATATGTTAAAACATTTAAAGAGTATCTTGTACTCATTAGATATTACTAGTAATTATTAATGGATAAAATTAATATTTTCATATTTTTAAAACAATGAAACAACATAATCTTGATTGGTTACTAGAACTGTAAAAGCTTTTCTCTCTTTTTCCTTCCTTTTTTCCATCCCCCTTTCTTCCCTCCTTTCTTTCCTTCCTTCAGAGAGAGAGAGAGAGAGAGAGAGAGAGAGAGAGAGAAGAGAGAGAAACTCAACCTAGCACAGGCTAATTTCTTTATATATGAGTAACTGATTTCTCTTCTGACACTGCAAGTCACTTTACAGCTCCTTGCTGGCTCAGTGCATATGCAATGAGGCCAGGCACACTGCTGCTCCCACATGAGTGTGCTGGGAAGCTGAAGACCCACCGCCCATTCCTAGAGAACAGTCCCACAGAGCCCCAGAGTGACTGAGATTGCAATGGGCTGATTCCCCAAAATGAAACTAGCCTATAAAAATGACAATGGAAAAGAGTTCTTACAAGTCTTTTAATATCAAGAGGTAGGCTAGTTTATCCATTTTAAGAGGAATTTCAATGCAACACTAAGAATAATGCTATGGCAGGAATTAATCATTTTATCTCCACACCAACTACCATTTCTAGTACACGGTGCTGCACATGAACCAGCCATCCATTCATTATCCTCTTACTTAATGAGGGGCTACAATTGGACCAACATTGTGCAGAGGTGAGGACTACAACCAGGAGAAAGGCAAACACAGACCCTGCCTTCATGAAGCACTCTGTGAGGCCTGTGAGGTAGACATTTGAACAAACACAAAAATAGTAATGTTTGTGGATATTTCTATGAGTCCTGAGTTCAGAAGAAACTGCTGTGCTGGAGATTTAAAAGTCATCGGTAACTAAAACCATGCAAATGTGTGGCATAGAAAAGGTAGACAGCATTAGGCCACCACTAAAGTTATTAGCATAACCTCAAGGTGATGAGCTGATTTAGTTAGGTCCAGTACCCCAAAATTTAATTCCCATGGAACAAGCCATAATAAGTGGTTTATTAATGGAAAATTCTATAAAGTTACTGTTTCCGTGCTGAAAAGTGTGGCATGAGTAGCTCACCCTTGGCATTAAGCTCATTGTAATATAGTGATACGTATTGAATTCCTATTTCAAAGGAAGTTTTCATTCTAAATCTTACTTACCATCAAAATTATCATGGTCTGAAAATCTGGTTTGGATGTCAGAGAATTAAAGCTGGAGTAACAAATTTAGGAAGAATGATAATCATCAGCCAAGGACTGTCTTATACTTCATGAAAGTTCATTCGTAATGATAGTCCCATGCATCCTTTGCAAGAAATTCTGCCACACGCTATGTCAACATTTGTATGATATACTCTACAGTTTTGTTATATATTTGTTGCATACCACTTCACCAGGTAACTAAATACCAGGTTATTTGTCATCAATTTATGATGTGTAAGGCACTGTAGTAGACCGTGGGGAAGACAAGACAGTGTTAACTTAAGTAAATATTCCATCTACCTAAATATGTCAGGGAGCACTCAGTAAATATGGAAAACTGCTTCTAAATATCTCTTGTAAAAACAATAGTCAATCTGGCCCTGAATCAAGGCTGGCAGCTTCTTGACAATGTTGGTTTCAAGCAAAAACCTGAAGAGATGTCTTTCTATGGTCTGTTTGCCACTTCAGAACTTCGGCAGTGAAATGTTCATTGGAAAGCAACAGCTTGAAGCAACTCCTGCCCCCAGGATCCACCGATGTTTACTGCCTTGCCATGCTGGGACCTGGAGTGCCGGGAAACCAAGCAACCCCTTCTCCCCTGACTGTTTGGTTTTGTTGAACTTCAATATACATGAAAGTATGGACAGTTATTTTGACAAGAAAGAGAGACTCTATGAAAGTCATTAGTGACAGCCATTGTTTTGTTTTGAAGACCTTCCTCATTCTGTTCGAGTCAGTTTTATACTATGTTGTTTTGTATGAATTCTCTATATGTGAAGACATGGGCAACTATTTGGAAGAAAAGAAGAGACAATATGATAGATAGTGAAGATCTCAGGTGGTCTAGCTTTGAAATTTATATCTCTTACCTTGCTTTTTTATGTCCTATTTTGTTCTGTTATGTTGTGTTTAATTTTACCCCCTTTAAATAAATAAGTAAAATAAATAAAAAGTCATTTTTTAAATGCTCCATTTACTCTTTTCAATACTGCCCAAATTCTTACCTTTCAGCAGATATTGATCATACCTTTGAACTTGTATCGTTTTGCAGCAGTTACAATTAAGTTTAAAAGTTTGAAAATATGCATTTATGCATGCATTTTTATTTTCACTGTCACATACACCTTCTCTCTCTACAGTTATTCAATCATTTTTTTCTGGGAAGTACCAAATAAATATTTCTGTATTTGTTGACCATACAGTTTCAGTAGCAGCTTTTCAAAGCATGGTTTCAGTAGCAGCTTTCAAAGCATGCCATCAAAAGCATGGTTGCTATCTTAATGACAATCGCTTAAAAAATGGGTATGAATGAGTTTCAAGAAATCTTTATTTAAAAAAAGGAGGGCCAGTGGGCTGGATTTGACAAATTCTTTTCTAAAGGATTAACATTTGAAATTTATCATTCTCTTTTTCCAACAAGAAACAAATGCTCTAAAAATAGATGCTACCCTGAAAGAAAAGCTTTAAAGCATTTTGCAAAGTTCTCTTTGCATATTGGAAAAAAAAAAAAGTAGCAAAATTCAGAGGAAAAGATCACCAGGACAGTAGGTCTGTAAAATCAGTTAAATGATGGTATGAACAAGATTGATTGGGCAGAATGAAATCATTTCCTTCTTATATCCAACAGTATTTTGTTCCAAATACTCACAAGATATTCCATTTGAAAATACTTCACAGAAATGATAATGAAAACTTCTAAACATAAAATAGAGAACTGTAGGTTAGAAAAATGTATTTTGATCATCAACTAAAAACTATAAAGAAAGCAATATAGTGAATTTATTTGAAAACATGATATTTATGAAGAACTGAGCTTTTTAAAAATTGAAAAACTATAAGATCATCTACCAAAAAATAAAAAGAATTTTCAAGTACCAAACAAGGATAAAGTTGGTTGCTTAGCACTAACTAGTAAAAGCTGATCACTAATTGCAACTATTTCATCACTATCATTTTATGAGTATTCATAATCTTCACAAGCAGACCTCACCCTAAGAATTTAAAGGATGAGAACTTTCTAAATTTCTCTTTCCCTAGTATTGCCATTATATAATTATATCATATACTGATGTTTGCATCATATACAATGTTTGCACATATGGGAAATACTTCCTAAAGACTTTAGTTATGTACATATGGATTCTTACATATGTATAAATACATAATATGGGCATTTGTATATTTTGTGATTTTAAAACAGGCCTGAATAATTTAGAGCTGTAGAAATGTCAGTTTTCTTCATTTCCTCTCTAGATATGATCTAGTGAGTGTTTGCATGGCAATCTGTGTAAATTCTGAGGAATAAGAGACTTGAATAGACATAAAAATGATTAAAATTTTAAGGAAAATATGCAATAGAGGCATGATTCATTGTATATAGTGTTGTGATGCACATACCACAATTCATTGTATAGTATATATGCTGTACAATATACACAGGAACAAACATAAATGCAGAATAAATGAGAAGAGAAAGGAGGAGCAAGGAGACAAATAGAAGAGAAGGTTTTTTTTTTTTTTTTTCCAAATATTGTCTAGCACTGTCTATGCATTTTATTTGTCCTCACAGAAACGGTGTGAAATCAAGCCTAAGGATTCATTCTAAAGCTAACAAAGAGCAAAACTAAGCTATGAAACTGAATACCTCTAACATCAGAGCACAAGTTCTTCAGTCTCATTGGGTTGTTTTAGACAAAGTCTCACTATGCAGTCCAAGCTGGCTTTGAACTCACAGTGATCCTCTTGTCTCAGCCTCCCAGTTGCTGGAATCATAAGCATAGCACACCATGCCCAACTTCAAAGGGTAAAATCTCAAAAAGCAGAAGGATTAGAAGTAACTAGAAGGGTCCCCAAAACACTACTTGGAACAAATTAAAGTAAGAGAAGATAGGAAGGGCCTTTGCTGTTTCTGCATCCATTCAGGGATGTATTGTGTGAACAAACAGACCTAGCTGTGATAGGATAGTGATATTATTGAGATGTTGGTGGAGGTTTTTGGTGGTTCTGTGCTAACCGATAGTTAGAGACGCTTTTCTAACTCTTTAACCCCACAGCAACCCTCATCTTAAGGCTAAACTTTTTAATGAGGGAAGTATCTGTCATGAAAGGCGTTCACGTCTGAGGCACATAAGCAGCCAGTGAAAGGCTGTTGCGCAAACATCTGCATTGAGGTCGCAAACCTTAACAGACTTAGCCAAAAACAGTGGTGCATACTTGCAGGCCTGTCTACACAGGAGACTGAGGGTGGAGGAACCCTTGAGCCCAGGAATTCAAGACCAGTTTTAAAAACATAATGAGGCACCATCAAAAAAAAAAAAAAAAAAAAGAAAAAGAAAAAAAAGAAAGAAAGAAGAAAAGAACACATTACCTGCCTAATGATTGCTGCAAGCTGACTGCACTTAAAATGAGGTGCATTAGAGAAGGATTTTGCTTTGAAATAATCTAGCAGTTGTTTGAATGTTAGAGTAAGAGTGATGGAGTTTCAGGAAGGACTTGGACAGCACACATGAAGCATATGGCGTCTTGGTCAGTGAGTACGAAATTGACAGTACAGAAATTCTAAGGGAAAGAGGAACTGTCAGATCTTGAGGGAGCACTGAGGCACCCAGGTAAAGAGTATGAGAAATGCCTAGAAATCCAGCACATTACTTTAAGCTTTGCTGTGTAAGTAGGAAAGATGGATGGGGATTATCTGCATCTTCATAGTCAGAAAACTGCCAATTTTGCAAAATGATTTTCAGCTTACACATCAGTAACCCTTCCAAGCAGAAGCATTGATTTATTAAATTCATTTTGGAGATTTTTATTTTATGTTCATCTTAGGGATGCCTAAGCAGATACAGCAGAGAGTTCTGCAGTTATAAAAGAATACATATGTGGCCCAATTAAAGAAATTAATCTCCTATTTCTCATCATATCAGAAGTCCCAAATTAAGGCTCTGGAATTATGAAACAAAGAGTCTTCATAAAAACTCATTGAAGATTAGTCAGGACATGTAAATTTATTTATATTGAAATCTAGAGTATGTAAAAAGTGGCATATATTTAGTCTAGCCAAGAGCACTAAGAAACGTGAAGGTTATGTGTGTGCATACCCTGACTTTATCACTCTGGGAGCTTCACATGGGAAAATGCATAATTGGAGTTAATCATTTTAAAACATTGAGCTTGTAAACTTATCTACTCTGCACCCCATTATTGCACTCACCACCAGCTGTGAACCTCTTTTTAGGCTATGAACCAATAAGTACTATAAGTGTAATATCAGAATGTATTGTCGTTAATGCATATCAGCTGGACATTATGAACCTTTTTCCCTCACAATAAGGAATTTAAGTTGTGTAAAAGAATAAGCATTTATAATCAAAACCAAAGCCCCCAGGATGGCCTTTTAGGCCGCATTTCTCTGACCAGGTCTTTGCTATCCCTTCCCTCCTTCCACTGTCTCACTCACTGCCCCACACACAGGTCTTCATTATGTCTCTAACACACACTTGCTTCAGATGTGGACCTTGTTATTTTTTCTTCCTAGGGAGAAAAGTCCTTCCTCCATAAATCTCAGTGTGCTCAGATGTCACTTGCTAGAGAGGCCGCTCTGATCATCCCATGAAACTGAGGCCACGCTCGCCCTATACCTGCACTCTGTGCCACTTGTCCCTAAAGGCAGGCAGAATTCTGAGATGGTCCCCAAGGTCCCCATCCAATGTCTACATGCCTTTAACAGCCCTCAGAATTGTGGACAGGATGAATCTCATGGCTCTGCGTAGGTAAAGTTACAAAGGAAGTTTGACTTGAAGAAAAGGAAATTTTCTCAGTGGGTCTGATTTAATCCTTTAAATCTGGGTCTACAGATGAAAGAAAGAGAAAGTCAGAGGAGATTCTGAAAGGTAGAAGAGATTCCCTTGACAAATTTGAGGAGGCAATGGCCACATCACGCAGAAGACCACTTGGCCGGAAATGATGAACAGCATCTAGCAGCTGAGGACAACTTCCTGGTGATAACCAGCAAGGAATCGGAGATGCTAATCTTGTAAATGCAAGGAAGTTAATCTAGCTAGAACTGAATGAACCTGAAAGAGGACTTAATATCTCAGTAGAGTTTAGAGACTTGAATGGCATCTTGTTTCAGTTATATGACATGCTGAGTAGAGAAGCCATGCTGGACTCTTGACCAAAGCTAACTGTAGATAATAAGTGTGCTATTTTGAGCTTCTGGGTGAGTGAGACTGTTTTACACAGCAATAAAAAACAAATAAAACCTTTCTACTTTTTACAGTGTACTTATCTCCAGTTGGCATGTTATCTATTATATTTTATGGATTGTCTCACTCCCCTCACTGGAGGTGAACCTCCAGGAAAGTATGAGCTTTTCTGTTTTCATCATTGTGGTATTCTCACTTGCTAAAATGATGTTTACGATGTAACAGAATTTTACTGAATGTTTATTGAATGAATAAAGGAAACTTTGCACTTGTAGAGGATTGATGCTTGCTTTAAAAAAGTACAA